GTGTCATTCCACCCGTCCCCCACTGGTGCTTCAAGGCTCGAGGTCCCGTCCTGCTTCCCTGACACTCCCAGGTGGGTCCCAGGGCCTTCTCTGTTGTGACATCTGGCTCAGGCCTCTCATGATGAATTTGTCACCAGAAAACCTGGGTCATAATTGCCCTTTTGCAATTTCCCATGAAATTTCTTACTAATTTTTTACTTTATATTCTCTTACTAGTGCTTAGCTTGAAGGAGTCTGGCCTGTAGCTCAGTAAATGTCTGTGGAATATAAAAAAAAAAAGGAAAAAACACCCTCATCAACAGAAAACAAACAAAAGCCAACCCAAAACAGAAACCAAGGCCAAGAAGACCCGAATAACAACAACATGAGACTTTCTGGACAACTCCAACAGCGCACCTTTCTACAGGCTGGACCCCTCTGCCTTGCCACTCCTGCCCTCTGGTGGACACACAGTAGCACCACATGAGGGAAAAATGGTTAAAAAAAAAAATCAAGCCTTTATAATCAATATGCAACTTAAAGGAAACATTTAAAAAGGTAACAGAGTTCTGATTTTAGCACCCTTCCTGCAGATTAACTGGAAACACAGGTATTATTTAAAAACCTAAAGGCACTGGAGGATGAACAAAAACAGGATTCCTCAAGCGATTAGACACCCTGGAAGGATGGAATGGCAAGTACCTTTTCCAGAAAAAATAGTTTTTAGCCTAGTGCAGGCCCAAGTCAAGTATCCATGCAGGGCAGCTAAAACTCCAGTGGAAAATCCAGCCTGAAGAACAAAAAGAGAGTTGGAAGAAACGAGCCACTGAGAAGTGAGGAAGCAGCCCTACAGTGAAAAGGGCCCGAGACGGACCCATCCAAACACTGTTACTAACTCCGCCCAAATCCTGGACGAGCCTCCGACCCACATCCCCGCGCAGCAGGCTCCAGGTGCCTTAGCTAAGGATGACGCCTGAACAGAGATCTCAACTGCTGCCCAGGGTCCGAGTTCAAACAAAACCGTCGACACGTTACAGACGAACCTAACAGAATCCAAGGTCCCCACAGGGTAACACTGACTGTCCAGGCTACAATCCAGAATACTCAACACGATGAAGAATCAGCAAAATGTGGCCCACTTGTAAGAGAAAAGACAATCATCAACAGAGACCAACTTCAAGATGACAAGGATGCCAAAGCAGCTACTATAAACGTGTTCCAGAAGACAGAGGGGAGAAACAAAAACCAGAACACCGGAGCCGGAAACCTGTGGGACAACATACAGAAGTCTATCACCTGTAATTCAAGTCCTAGAAGAGAAAAGGTAGAAAAAATACGTGATGAAACAAGGGCCAGAACTGCCCTGGATCTGGTGACCAATGTAAACTTACAAATTCAGAGAGAACCAAGCAGTAAAATATGAAGCAAGCCCCTCCTGGGCAAAATACCAAACTGCTGAAAACCACGCAGAGCAGAGGCCCAGAGGAGTGACGCACTACAGTCTGAATGAGGAGTGACTGCTTAGACACTGCCGAGGCCAGGTTACAGAGGAACAGCATCTGCAAAGTGCTGAAAGAAAACAGGGGTGACCCCAAACTGTTATCTCAGAATTCTAGTCAGTGAAAGAGAAGGCAAAAATGGAAATAAGATCAAGCAGACCAATACAGTCAATGAAAAATCCTTCAAGTATGAGGGGGAAAGTTATTTCTAATAAAAAGAAAACTAAGAACTCATCAACAGATCAACAAAATGTGAAAGGCAGTTCTTGACGCCGAAAGGAAATTGTATCAATTGGAAGGAATTACATATCAAATGAAAGAGCAATGGAAATATTAAGTATCTAAGTAAGTATTTCTTCCTCTTAAAACTATACAAGTTTTTTAAGGCAAAAATTACATTATCTTGTGGGGTTCTAATGAATGTAAACATTACATCCATACGTTAAAGTTGCAGGATACAAAGTCAATACACAAAAATCCATTGTTTTCCATATACTGACAATGAGCTATTGTCAGAAACAGAAATTAAGAGAACAGTCCCATTTACAATTGCATCAAAAAGAATAAAATACCTAGAAATACCAAGGAGGTGAAAGATCTGCACACTTAAAATTATGTAAGACATTGAGGGAAGGAATCAAAGGCAACGGGGAGAAATCCTGTGCTCATGGGCAGGAAGAATTAATACTGTTAAAATGTCCGTGCCACCAAAGCAATCTACAGATCGATGCAATCTCTATCAAAATTCCAGTGGAATTTTTCACAGAAATAGAAAAAGAAATCCTAAAATTTGCAGGGACCCACAAAAACCTTGACTAGCTAAAGCAATCCTAAGAAAGAAGAACAAAGCTGGAGGCACCACACTCCCTGATGTCAAATTACAGCATAAAGCTATAATGATCAGAACAGTACTGACAGAAACAGACACACAGATCAGTGGAGCACAACAGAAAGCCCCAGAACAAACCATACACAGATGGTCGATTACCTCACAACAAAGGAGCCAAGAACATACCACGGGGAAAGGACAGCCTCTTCAAAAAATGGTGTTGGGAAAACTGGACAGCCAGAGAATGAAACTGGACCACTATCTTGCACCACACAAGAAGTAACTCAAGATGGATTAGACTTGAGTGTAGGACAGGAAACCATAAAACTCCCAGAAGAAAACACAGATGACAACAGCAAAAATAAGAGGGAACACATCAAACTAAGAAGCTTCTGCAGAGCAAAGGAAACCATCATAAAACAAAAAACAACCTACTGAGCAGAAGAAAACATTTGCAATCACATACCTGATAAGGGGTCAATACCCAAAATACATAAAGAACTCATACAATTCAATAGCAAAACAAACAAACAAAACCAATCAGATTTTTTTTAACTTGGGCAGAGGACCGGAAGAGACAAAAAGATGTAAATTGCCATCAGGTACATGAAAACATGCTCAACATCACTACTCATTGGGGAACTGCAGATCAACACCACAGTGAGGTGTCTGTCCCCTCATACGAGTCAGACAGATCTCTGCACCCCATGTTCCCTGCAGCATTATTCACAACAGCCAAGATATGGACACAAGCTGAGCTGTTTGACAGATGAACAGATGAAGATGTTACACAAGTCAGAAGGGAGAGAGAGACAACGGCAGAGACTGGAGTTACACTGCCACCAGCCACTAGAAGCCAGGAGAGGGGCCTGGAACAGTTCTCCCTCAGAGGCTCCAGGAGGAAGCCCTGCCCACATTTTGGATTTTGCACTTCCCGCCTCCAGACCTGCGAGGAAATACATTTCTGTTGTTTTAAGCCACCCAGTTTGTGGTGCTCTGTTACAGCAGCCTTAAGAACTGAATCCACCACGGTCTAGTTAAGTAACACTTGTCCCCCAACAACATGGCTCAGGTTCCCATTACCACCACACTCAGCTATGAGTGAAGCAGCCACTGTCAGCGCTTCAGTCCCAACCCTGCACGAGTGACGTGTGTGCCACAGTGGGCGGCCCATCGTGTCCCACTGTCTTCTGAGGCCTGGCGGTGACTAGTCCCGGCGCACCTGCCGCTCTGTGTGCTGTGCCGCCTCCCTGCTCCCCAGTGAGAAACCTAAATGGCACTTTATAAAATTGATCACTGAAAGAGGAAATTGGCCAGAAAAAAGAGAAGTGAAATGAAAAGTGGATTCACTAGAAGAGAAGTCTGAATCCTCAACCCTTCCACCAAGTCACCGCATCAGCAAGTCCATCCCTGCTCTGAACAGATCCAGAATCTGACCACTTCCCACCACCTCCGCCTCCTACCCTGGTCCAAGCCACTACCACCTCTCCCCTGGGCTGTTTAACACCTGAAGTGGCCTCCCCGTTTCCACTTCTGCCTCCTCTTTCTATATATTCTCCATAGTTCAGCCAGTGACCTTCCAAAATATCCATCAGATCACGTCACTCTGCAGGTCAAAATCCTACGACGGCTATCCCTCTCGTCCAGACTAAAAGCCCAGTCTGTCGGATGGCCTACAGAGCCCTACGCAAGTCACCCCGCTCCCCTGCCCTGGTCTCCAGCAGTCCCCCCTCCAACCCCACTCCTGCCTCACCAAGGCAGACACCCTCCAGCCTGAATTCTGCAGTGGCCACTCCCTGCACCTTGAATGTTCTTGTCAACCATGCAGACAGGGCTTACTGCCTCACCTCCTCGTGTTCACCTCACCGAGGCATCTCCAGTCCCCGCACTGACACTGCACCCCCTCGCTTCCTCTCCCCACTCTCAGGATTATTTTGCACTTTTAGCTCCATCTAATATATATTTTCCTATTTATTTTGTTTATGCTTCTTCATTCTCCTTCAGTAGAATGTCTACTGTGTGGCAGCTGGGATTCGACTGACTGTTTACTGCTGTGTTCCCAGCAACAGGAAAAGGCCTGATTCATCTAGATCTTTCACCATGATCTGTTGACTGATCAGAGATGGCAAGAGCCTCAGAACTAGGGGCAGGACTTCTAGGGGACACGGCTTGGCTGAAGAGCCGGTAAGCAAGTGCACTTCACCACGGCCTTGCTCCCCTCTGCGTCCCGACCCCCACTTGATGCCAAGAAAAAGAAGATGCCGAGGGCCTCAGGCCCTCCCAGGGAGGCCCTGCACGACGCAGAGGCTGGACCGAGCCAGGCCGGCACCGGGATCACACCTGAGTGCAGAGCACTTACCCCATTCCCTGTTTGAAAGCTTCAATCAACTCGTTCTTTTTATTCTGATCTTCTACCCAATACACACTTGGAATTACGAACTCTGATATCACACGGCATTCTGGACAAGACCTGAAATGAGAATCGGGTTAGTAAGGGAGAGATCCAGTTGCAAGTCCCTTGCTCAAATGCACGACCACTTCAGAGGTTTCCTACCCCCAAACTACAAAAAGCGACAATCGCGATCCTCTGAACCTAATTTACCACTAAAATATGTTCTTCTCAACAAAAGACAACCCAATTTTAAAATGGGGAAAGGATATGAGTAGGCATTTCTTCAAAACACAAAAAGATGTTCAGTTCCATTAGTTATCATGGAAATGCAAATCAAAACCAACAGTAAGATATCACTTCACACCTACTAGGATGGCTAACATCAGAAATGAAAGTATTGGCAAGGATAGGGAGAAGCTGGAATCCTCACGTTGCTGAGGGGAATGGAAAATGGTTCGGCCACTTTGGTTGAAAATGTTTCCATTTGCCTAGTAACTCCACTCCTGGGTGTACACTCGAAAGTACTGAAGAAGGTATTCAAACAAACACACAGATGTGTCCAGGAGCTAGCCACAAGAGCCAAAAGACAGAGACAACCCAAATGTCCATCAACTGATGAGTCTAGAAACAGAATGTGGTCCAGCCACACAAGGGATTATCATTCAGTCGTAAGGAGGAACCAAGGGAGCTCTGAACACACGATGCTCCGTGAAAGAAGCCTGACACCTTGTATGGCTCCACTGATAGGAAATGTCCAGAACAGGCAGATCCACAGAGAGAGATCAGTGGTGGCCAGGGGCTGGAAGGAGGGATGAACAGGCAGGGACTGCAAGTAGAGATTTCTTTTTAAGATGTTGAAAACATTCTAAAGTTAGATTGCAGTAACGGTTGCACAACCCTATGAATATATTAAAAAATACTAAATTGTACATTTTTATCTCAATAAAGCTATTATTTTACCACACAAATGTGGGACTCCAGGCAAGTTACCTGACCTCGCTAGACCTGACCTGTAACATGAGGATGGTGAGCACAGGGTCTCTGAGAGAACTAGGGCTGAATGTGCAAGCACACTTCCCGAGAGCACACTGATGTGCCAGCTTCCCCAGTGAGGTGGCTCCTCTCCTATCCCACTGCAGACCTAAGACTCCTGTGTTGTTCTGTGTCAATTATATCTCGGTAAAGCTAGGGAAAAAAGAACCCTGTGTCAGCTCACTGAGCACATCCCAGTATCAGACATTCTGTGAAATGTGTTGTGTGCACCATTCCATTTAATCCTCAACCCCTTTTTAATAGATGGAAAAAAGAAATGAAGCTAAAAAGGTCAACAGCCAATCGGCCTAAGGGCAGACCACCAGTCACTAAGCACCAGAGCCAAGGGGGCCATCTCACAGACGCTCCCTGCCCCGTGTCCCCAAGACCCTAAATGCCTGGCAGGCACCGTCGCCCACATTCTGAAGGAAAAGGTGCTCAGGCTCAGGGAGGGGCTGGGACTTGCTCAACTGCCTGCAGCCGGTGGCCAGGAGCGCGAATCGAACTCTCCCCCTGGTTCCCCAGCTGCGCCCTGCCGCACTTACTTGATGATGGGGTTCTCAAACTGCTTGGCACACCTCCACTGCCGGATGCAGGGCAGGCAGTACGTGTGGTTGCAGTTGGAGAGGATCCCGAACCTGCGCTCGGAGGCCGACGCCTTCTCCAGGATCACCTCCATGCAGATGCTGCACACTTTGTCCTGACTGGCCTGGAAGGCAAAGGCCTTCTCCATCTCGTGTTCGAATGTCGCCATGCAGAGCTGAAGCACAGAGGGGAGGAGGGAAACCTCAGGTTCTGGGCTGGGAGCTGCCAGAGCACAACCAGGTCAGGCAGCCCCACGGGCCCCGCCCTTGGGACAAAGCGCCCTCGGGCCATCACCGGCTCAGCCCCAAGCTTTCCAGCACTGATAGAGTCACCTCCAATTTAAAGCCAAGACCAGAGGCCCACAGAGGTTAGAGGACTACGGTGGGGTTGTGGAGGTCACAAGGACTGGGACCCTGGTCTCCTGGGCCCCGCCTTCCCTCACCACATCAGAACTGCTCAGTAACCCACAATCTGAAACGGCAGGCTGGCGGTCCAGTCAGAGGTGAGGAGCATCACTCCTTCCCAGGAGAACAAGTTATTTAGTAAGTCCCCTCATTCCGGAAGCAGGTAGTGAACGCCTCCCAAGTGCAGCACTGAGTATCAGGTGCCAGAGTCAACACAAAAGATACGCAGGCTGAGGCACAGGGGACAGACACGAGTCAAGCCCGCACGCATGGCACCAGGACAACATCGCACCCGGGGAGGAGGGGAGCTCCAATCTCTGCTCACCCCAACACGCCCTGGGAGACAGCGGAGGGTGCAGAAAACCTCCACACGCCGCACTCCTCCCTGCCTCCCGCCCGTCTGCACAGCCTCCCCCACACTGCAGCCTAATGACCTGAAAGGTCCCTTCTGACACCAGGCTCCTCCAGCTCCTCCGGACTCGGCCTGGCTGGCCGGGTCCAGGATGTAGGCATTATCAGCGGAAAGGTGCTAACACAAATACCAACGACTCTGCCCCTTGGTGAACCTCTTATTTCTTGAAACGAGTTCACATGAAGGCTTGCGCAGTACCTTCTCATGAGCTTTCCTTTGCTCTGGGTCGAAGGGGTGCAGGACTCGTAACCTGCAGATCTCACACACTTCCCCGTGCAGGTAGACGCAAGCGTCCCCAAATCGGCACTCCCCGGCCGCCGCGTAGGGGCACAGCTGCTGCTCGCTGCCATAGGAGCTGCTGGCTTCCAGGTCGTCCAGCCCGCTCCTGATGGCATCCAGGTAGGAATGCGGCTTCATCTCCAGGCTGCTGTGTGGGTCGCTGCAGCCCCCTGGACTGCTCACCGCACTTGGGCAAGTCTTTTCTTCAGCCAGGCCGGAGAGATCTTAGGACAAAGCACACAGCACACACACAGGTGAAAACTGGCCCAAACTTTCTGGTAAGCAATCAGTCAAAAGCTGACAAAGTACTCTGACATTGGGAACTTTACTCTTGGGAATGTACAGAAAAACAGGCCAAGAGGAGAAAGTGAAAAAGTGTTCACAGTCACACTACTTAAAATCGTAATAAAAACACCCATAACTGGCAACACAGGGAAAGCCAAAGTGGCCGTGATAAATAATTTAAAAAGCAACTTCAGTGTTCTTTTGTATAAAAGTGGCAAGTACATTAAGTGTCAATACATGGATCAGCTATATTTAATACAAAAATTAGAAAGAAAACAAAATATAAGTCAAAGGGAATGCAGAATGAGGTCAAAAGAACACAGCCTTTTGGTTTCCTTTCTACCAGTGAAGCTACTGACCATTTGAAAGATAACGAGAATGAAAATCTGGAGCAAGTCCTGGGGCCTGAGGCCAGTGTCGAATTGCCCTTCAGCCACACGCCTCTCACAGCAGAAGCCCCTGTCTTCCCACCACACACCGCTCACCTTTAGAGGGACATGGTGACGGGCTGGGTTACTTGTTTGTTAAGGACAGAAGCTGCCTATCCTACGCTGCACAATTCCCAGAACTAGAAACCCCTTTCCCTAGTGAGGACGAGTCAGTGAAAACGGCTGCTACAATGTGCAGCCTTCTACCCACGCAAACCCAGTTCCGGGCACAGACCACTCCCCAGACCCCGACATGCTATTCTATTTCCAAAGGTACAACTGGTCAGTACAAGAACTAAGACTATGAACTGACCAAAAGGTCAAACAGGGAAACATGCCCTTTATTAAAATACGGAGCTTTGAAATGAACAGTGTGGTACTTCCTGGAAATGGGCAACCACCCCATGCAGATGGCTGTTCCACAGTGACAAAAAGGTCACCTTTCTGTTTTCCCAGGCCAACTTGGGGCTCTGCCCCCACTGTGGGCACAAGGTCAAATGCATCATCTGAACGCTCCGCAGCCAGGACAGGTCTGGGGAGGAGGTGAGAAGCCCTCTTGACAAGAGAGTCCACCCAGGAGCCTCAGGAAAAGCGAGAACTGCTCTCCAAAAAGGCAACAGAAGGACTCTGCCCACTCACTTCGGTCTCGAAGCACCAATGTTCGCTTTTCACGTTTCCCAGGCTCGTGTAAGTTAGTTTTCACGATTGATGCAGTGATGTCGGAGGGAGGGTGAGAACTGTGGAACCCCGGGGAGGGCACACCGTGGGGCACGGTGCCCACAGCACCACCAGCTGCAGTAGAGGGCCTCGTGTGGTCGTACCTAAACAGGACACACAGCAGATGTGTTATGGGCACACCATACACACGCGTCCCTCGCTCCCCAGACCTGGAACGTCCCTCCTCCTGCTCCACTGGTAGACGTGGAGAATGAGACGACCTTTTCCCATATTTTAATGGATAAAAGGCTTACCAATTAGTAAGAACTGCCTGGCAATTCAGAGTGAGTGGCACATTGCTGTCTATCTCCTACACTTAAGTGTCCTTGTGGGACTGGAGTGGGACAGACCTATTGCCCCAGACCACACAAAGAGCGCCTGGCAGCTCCCGGGATGTTGACTGAGCAGCCTCCCCTGGACTGTGTCTCTGGGGCCCCCAGGGGCAGAGCGGGTGGGGGCAGAGAGGGCCAACTTCCAGCATCCCAGGAAAGCAGATCAGCTTTTCTCTACAAAAGCACAGGAGGTTTTGAATGTTTTCCCGTCTAGAAGTTATAAAACTTGCCTACAGATGTCAGGGGAAAAAAAGAAGATTCTATACGCACATACGTGTTCCCTGCAGGGGTACTCACAGCAAAAAACTGGAAGCCACTCAAGCATCTAATACAGGAACAGTTAATAAATGATGGCATGTTAACATCATGAAATACTGTAAGGTTACAGGTAGGAGATAAAGGAGCAGCACTTGAAGGAGCTTATGACATGTTAAATGGGGGAAGCAAGACATACACTCTTACGCATGCTGTGAGTGCAATTTTAAACTGCAGATTCATAACAACAGGCCTGAGAAGTGACTGAAAAAAATAAAATCATTTTTAGGGTACTGAAATTGGGGTTGCAAACTATTTCTGTAACGTCACATTACTCTTAATTAAAGTTCTCCCCTCATCAAGACCCATGCTCCAAATGACGGATTTCAATCCCCGACAGTCACTCAGCGTGACGCCGCGGATGCAGCGGGGCTCTTGCCTGCAGCGAGTTCCGTAGGCGCAGCAGCCCTTCTGGTAGTATTTGCAGATGGTGGATGGCTTGCTGTTGGCCAAGTCATGAGAGAACAGGCACTGGTTTCCTTCCCGACACACACCATGCATAAAATACCTGAAGAGACAAGCAGAGGCATAAAACTTGCACAGACACGCTTTGCTTTATAGCATCACCACATTCTAGCTTGCACACAAACGTACATCGTGTGTGTAATATGTCTCAAGACCCTGCTGGGCACTGGAGATACACTGTGTCCCTGACTCCAAGACAGAGTGATTTCAGATGCACCTTAACTACTTCAGTGACAGCTCTTCTGGAAGAAAAACGATCCTCCAAATTTCTGTCTTAAGATATATCCTCTTAAAACAGTATGGAGATTCCTCAAAAGGCTAAAAATAGACTTAACACACGATCCAGCAGCAGTCCCACCCCTGGGCACACACCCAGAGGGAACCTTAATTCAAAAAGACACCTGCACCCCAGTGTTCACAGCAGCACCATTTACAACAGCCAAGACGTGGAAACAGCCTAAATGTCCACTGACCCATGACTGGACAAAGAGGTTGTAGTATATTTATACAATAGACTACTACTCAGCCGTAAAAAATAATAAAATAATGTCATTTGCAGCAACATGGATGGACCTAGAGATCGTCATTCTAAGTGAAATAAGCCAGAAAAAGAAAGGTACCATATGACTTCAATAAAAAATACATATATACCAAAAAAAGATATATCCTCTTGAGATAGTCACATATAGGGGTAAAGTGTGAGCCTTGTAGTTGAGAACATACACTGCAAAACTGCTCTGCTCTCATGGCTGCAGTGGAGTTAGAAAGACAAGGGCTCAAGGTCCAGTCCTGCCACCTATAAGCAGGTCACAAAACTAACTTCCCTGGGCTTTGCTACCTTTACCTATAAAATGAAAATTACACTTCCTACTTCACTGAGCTGTGAGGATCAAGTTAAGATAGTGTAGCACCAAAAGATTTCTCCACAGGAATGTGGCACTGAGACGTCCAACTGTGGCCCCGAAGGAGTAACTGGGAGCCATTCTGGTTCTGTCCAGCCAGCACAGACAGACCCGCCTGAATCCTCAGACGAGAGCTCAGAGACACCCCAGAGGAACACGCCTTGGCATTAAGGGTACACAAGCCCTACAGGAAAGAGATTTCAGACCTGCTCTAATAGTTTAGAACACAAAACAGAACAAGCTTCAAAAGGATGTAGCTGATAGCAAATAATTTACTGTCAGCTGAAACAAACTTTAATACTCTTTGAAGGAAGACAAATCCAAATACTCAAAATCAGTCACAATGTTTGGCATCCAATCAAAAATTCTCAGGTACACCAAAAAGCAGGGAAACGTGGCCCACAGCCAGGAGAAAACTTGGTCAAAACAGGAATGACAGATGATGGACTCAGCAGACAAGGACTTTAAAAACAGCTATTTCATCAATATGTTCAATATACTTAAGAATTTAAAGGAAAACCTAAAAATAATACAGGGAGAAATGGAAGATATAAAAAAAGAACCGAATGAACTTCTGGAAATTAGAACTACAATATATGAAGTGAAAATTACACTGTAATGGTAAGCACACTAGAGAAGAAAATCTCAGAACACTTGAAGACACAGCAACAGAAACTATCCAAACACACAGAGAGGAAGAAAGAGAAAGGACAGATTTTGGCTTCTAGCTACGAAGGAGTATGGAACTTGCCCTCCGACTGTGAAACTAGAAAACAGAACAAAATATATGAGACAGCTGCTTTCAGACTGGGACAAAAGGTGACACAAGACTGGCCCCAGAGAGAAGGGAAACAAGGGCCCAGCGCATGCATTTCTGGCTGGAGGCATATCTTGGACCTTGGTGCAGGGAGGGGAACCCCAAGCAGAGCACTGCTGTCGTGCTGAGCTGAAGGGACAGAGACTGGAGTTCAAGGAGGCTCTTTACAGAGCCTGCACAATCAACTGACTTGATAAAGGTGTCAAGGAGATTCAACAAATGACGCTGGACCCAGTACCTGTATGGAAAAACCAGGACTCAAACATTACGTGTCTGCTGCTGTTACCTGATAGGAGTGACGTACACAGCACACCCTGCGATGCATCCCAGCCAAAAAGTTTAATGTGAATCCAGCAAAACTGCAGCTCTAACGCCTAGTTTACAGGAGACACAGGGGACTGGGACAAGATAAAAGGCCCCATGAGGAAGCAGCCAATGAAACAGAGAAGAGAGGCGATGTGTGGGCCAGCTCTCTCCAAAGAGGGGCCATGGGAAAAAGAGAAGGAGGGGCTGGGTTTGGAAAACAGTTTGGTGGTTTCTTAAAACCTTAATCATAAACTTACATGACTCAAGAATTCCACTCCTAGGTGTTTACCCAAGAGAAACGAACACACGTGTTCACACAGGTACTTGGACACAAATGTTCACAGCTGCAGTATTCATTACAGTCAGAAAGTGGAAACTTTTACAATCCCACTCACAGGTGAATGGATAAACAAGATAAAATACATCCATGCAGTGGGCTATTATTTGGCAATGAATAACGACACACCACAACAGGCGTGAACTGCAGACACATTACGTGTGGGGCTCAACAGACCGCATGCTGCGGGAGTCCATTCACCCGGGGGACAGAGCAGTCCCTGCACAGACCACTGTACGGCCCGACAGTCCACATCTACAATGGGCCCTACACACGGTATGTAAGTTCCATTTCAATAAAGCTTTTAAAAAAGAAAATTTAAAAAGAAGGGAACTGCACCAGGTTAGTAGGCAAAATACAAGGTACACAATGACCAGATACAGTATTTAGTCCTGGACTGTATTTGGTTTGGATAAACCAGTTGTAAAAAACATTTCTGGGACAAATGGGGAAATCTGAGTACAGACTACGTATCAGATCACTTACTGACATGGCAAGTTGAAGATTAACTGAAAAAAAAGCAGGTTATAAAACAGAACATAAGTAAAATGGTGTAGGCGCTATGTAAAATAGTACAGTGAGCCTCAAAACATTAAAAATAGAATACCACGACTCAGCAGATCCACTGCTGGGTACACAGACAAAAGACCTGAAAGCAAGAATTCCAGTATCTGCACACCCCCGTTCACAGCAGCATTATTCAGTAGCCAAAAGGTGGAAACCATCCAACTGTCCATCAGCAGATGGTGGGTAAACAAAATGTGGTCTATACACACAATGGCATATTGCTCAGCCTTAAAAAGGAAGGAAGCGCGGACCCATGCTACATTGATGAACCTCGAGGGAACTGTGCCAAGTGAAATAAGCCAGACACAAAGACAAGCACTGTATGACTCCACTCACACGGGTACTTAGATTCTGAGTCAAGTTCACAGAGCGAGGACGCAGTGTGGTTGTTGCCAGGGGCTGGGAGAGGCAGAATGAGGAATTAGTGTTTAGAGGGGACAGAGTTTCAGTCTGGGAAGATGAAAACAGTTCTGGAGACGGTGGTGGTGACCGCCCCACGTAAGTGTGAATGTACTTGATACTACTGACCTGTACACTTCACAAGGGTTAAGATCGGGGTTGGGGGTAGAGCTCAGTGGTAGAGTACATGCTTGGCGTGAGGTCCTGGGTTCAATCCCCAGCACCTCCGTTAAAAAAATGGTTAAGATGGTAAATTTCTATTTTGCCACATTAAAAAATTTTGAAACAGCACATACAGTATGCTCTTATTTTGGTAGATTTTATATATATATATGTATACACACAAACATACATACACAAACATCCCTACATTTAAAAAATCTAGAAAGACACACAATAGTGTGTTAAGAGTGGCAGTCCTTGAAGGTAAGGCATATGATATTTTTATTTTCTTATTTTTGCCAATCTGTACTTTCTAACATTTCTACCATGAACATAACTGCTCTTGTAATAGCGAATGGTTGTTTTAGTTTTAAAAAATAATAAACTATTGAATTATAAACTGGCGAAGGTATGGTTAAAAAAAAACATAAAATGCTCAGTACAGTGCCTGTCTCATAGTAGGAACCCCCTAAGTTCAGCTCTTACTAGAGTCTAGTGGAAAACACTGGCAATTATGCTGACAGTTACAAGAGTGATGTATGCCCGTGACAACGTCTGCACAGTGCTGTGCTGAGGACCGAGGGACGGGGACCAGGGCGGTGTCAAGAGAATGCCAGGCCAAGGGACTGCAGAGTGGACGGGTGCCAGTAGGTGGGGAAATATGTGCCAGAAAGAGGCAGGAAGGGAGGCCCCAGAGGGTGAGGCAGGCCTGCCGAGAGACAGACAGATGGGAGGATCACGACCCCAACTTCCCAACAAGGGACGAGGGGCCCACGGGCAAGTCTGCTCCCTCAGTCTCACAGCAGACGGCGGCAGAGGAAAGGCCACTGGGGCTGCAGAGCGGAGACAGGCTAGAGAGGCTGGAAGTGGGGGAGAGGAGCCCACCAGGAGGCTGCTGAGTAAAGCGGCTTTATCGGTGAACTCCTGTTCTAACTTACTTAAAAATCATGCTCTGGCAACTCTCAAGCACATACACAAGAAGACAGGAGGACGAACTCCCAAGAGGCCCCAGCACCAACCTTCACCCCATCCGCTCCCGAGCAGTCTGGTTGTACCATTTCTCCCCTCTCCTACAAGGTTTCGACAGTTTATCTTTTTTAAAGAGGGATAACACATACCTCTTGAATGAAGACTTCTGGGCAAGGAGGGCCCTCGCTCCCTCTGAACAAGTACATTATGAGAAATATATGAAATGAGAGAAGGCACAAAAGCTCCGATGAGCAGCACTCCCGACTCTTTCCAGCACATTCACTTCTTACCTCACTGACCCCTGGCCCTGCTCTGAGGAGGGCCAGCATACACTCATGATGCAGACAGGAAAGCTGAGGCTCAGAGAGGGGCGATGACTTGGAGATCTAACTGCTGGGCAGGAGACCCCAAGTCTGGCCCTTCCTAGAGAGACCTGATCTTCTCCCACCAAAACTGACTTCCTGTCACTGCCTTCGTCCACACCATGGCCCCCGTCTAAACGCTGTACCATCTTTCACTGCACTAAACTGTGATAACCCACCTTCCTTCCTGGACCTTCCTGAGTCCTGGCTGGACCAAGAGCC